GAAAAATGTATGATTTTAATACAAGTAAGATACATTTTACTCAATATGTTCTAGTTTGCTTGTTATCATGATTAAAGATATTTAAGGTTTTAATTAAGAAAAATCGTCATATGCTGAAATCACACCTAACAAACCACCACCCGATCAATCTCTACACATCATCACCAAATTCCACGACGAACTAAAATCTATACTTTATCCCTTTCTTACTGTTATAACATCCCTAATAAACAAAATCCCACTCCTCGTCGCTCCCACCCCACAACAACACACACACACACACCACATATTCCGTACATCCATAACACGAACATAATATAATATATTACCTATATTATATTTATAATAATTATAAATAATAAGTTATAATTATAATAAATAATAATTAATAATAATTATAGTTATATTTATAATTATTATAAACTGTTATTAATAACTAACTTGATGTAATATGTTGATATATTTTTATTTTCTTAAATAAAAAAAAAGGATTTAATTATATAATTTTCATGAACATTTTCAGCACACACTCGAAACTTGCTCTAAAGAAAAAAACAAAGAATAATTTACAATTTCTTCTTTAATTTTTAATTTTTTGATTTTTTAATTTTAATAATTATAGTATTGCAATATTATGTAAATACCGACACTTACATTTTAAGCTATTCGATTGTTTTATTAGTGTTATTTACTCCGAGAAATAAATAATTAAACATAATAATGTAGAATAAATACTTTCAATCGTAACTGAGATAAACGTAAAAATCGTTGAAACGATCGTATTTTTAATCGTATATATAATATTTTCGTACTTTCACGGGAAAATAATGAGCAGATTATTGCAAAACAATATTGAATTTTGATGTCTAGTACTTATTTTATATCCTATGAACTCTAGTGTAAGTTTCTAAAGTATCGTTGATAATAAAATAAATTATAAGCCCAAATAAAATGTTTTTTTATCATAGTTCCTTGTATAACTATATTATCTTTAACCGTACTAGGTACTTCCACGAGGTCATTATTTTTGCGTATACTAGAGCTACTCACTCCAATATTATGTAATCAATTTTCAGAAAAAGTGTAAAATGAGTATTAGTTTTAGATAAACACGTGTGCTATGCATGGACGTGGTCGGTTTTTGATCGAGACGATAATAACGCATGATGTGTTAGACAGCTCGAAAAATAATAAAAGATAATAGTAATCGAATTTATTTTGAAGGAAAAATTATGGGTGATTAAATATACACATCTTTGTAGACCAGTTAGAAAAAAATATTAAAAGATATATCTATATTTAGTAGTGTTGGGCAACAATATATTATTGTGTATCGATATCGTTCCGATTTTCTCGATATTGTATCACGATATCGGAATTTGATCTATATCGATATCGTATCGAATTATATTTTTATAAATTTAGTAAAATAATATACTAAAATTTAGTATATGATATTTATTATTGGTACACCAAAATCGTAAACTTTTATCTAGTACATAATGCTTATACAGATAACATTATGAGCTATATAAAATGTAACAATAATGTAGAAATGTAAAATTAAATATAAATAATATAATAATTCACATTTCTCGAGGACACGTGTACAAACTTTATCAGTTATATCATTAGAAAAATATTATTACTTATTAATTTAGTTAATAATTTATTACACAGCACACACAATAAAATTTACTTAAGCTTAGAATCTAAAAATAAAATGTATTTTTAGAAAAATTATTAAATTGCATATTGTGCGATATATCGTACAATTATAGAACGATATTGGTGTCGAAAATGTGTCATGGTATCGATATCGTATCGAATTATCGATATCGTTGCCCATCACTAATATTTAGTACAATTTCAGCCAAAAATATTAGGTGGTTTATACTCACTTTTTAAATACATACACATGCTATCATAATTTACCATGATATTTATCGACTGTCAAACATCCAAACTTTCTGAACAATTCCAATACATAATATACATAACTATTCATTATTTTTGGAGTATAAATAGTAGCTACATAATATGCATTATACACACACATAGGTTTGTCTAGGCGTTTTTATCAGGTCGTGCATAAAATATACAAATGTGAAACTGAGTTACCGAAAGTAATAGAAAATACGATCTTCAAATTTGGAAAAACCATTTTTTGTAGGCCATGCCTTTGCATGAGAGACTCGACCTGTAGATACGTATATGATATGTATGTATGTATTTTATTATACAAGTGTACATGACGAAGTTTTATATAATGTATACAATTATACAAACGAGGTCATAGTGCGGTTGCTGTTTTGGGGGATGGAGGAACAAGAAAACATGGGTAAATATAACGAGGATGAATAATTTAAATTATTATTATATAAATTATTATGCTTCACACCTATAATGACGCAGCTTTTCAGTGTACAATATAATAGAACGACTTAGAGGGACAATGCAAATAGCTTTGTAGCAACCATAATGGTGAAAAGCAAAATAAAATCTTTAGAGGAATTAAGGACGAACGTTGGGCGAGAAAGAGAAAGATTCTAAAAAATCACTGAACTTTGTTTTACAAATACATTTATTTGTGATAGACGGATTAGATATAATATCCTCATTAAATATCGTATGAATAAGTTATTTTCATACATACAAAAATCAGAGTCTATTTCCTTTACAGTTTTTACACTTTTGTTTTGTATGTCAGTTGGCTCATTTGTCGCATCTTTCATATCCCTATACAACGTAGAAATGTGTATGAACTTTTGAACATTTGAAATGATCAGAAAATGTCCATATAAAAAAGCAATATTTTTGACCATCCCACTGCATAATTCATCATATTACCAAAAAAGCCAAAGACTTTTGAAGTACTTAATCCTTGTTTTATCTTTGTATAAGACTCGGTCGAAACTATTTTATATACGTATATGTATACTATTTGTGCGTGTACATTGAATATATATATATCAAATAACGTAGTGGAGATACACAGTAATAGAGAGAGAAGGTATACATAAGTCAATACATTATCGAAGAGGTTGTTTGAAATATAAATGATTACAGGAAGCTTTGACTATGTCTAGTGAACGAAAACATTGAATGATCGCAAAAAATTTAAATTTAAATGTCTTTATATTACGAGTTTTCAAGTTGAATGAGAGTTGTTCTTGTCATCGAATATAAATTTCTTATTTTTTATTTTATTAAAAGTTTTCATTAAAAAATTGCACATATTATTAAATACGAATTATGTGATATAATAAACTATAAAGGTATTAAGTAGATATGATTTAATGTTGACATATACGAAGTGTTTTCAGTATAATATAAATTGATCAATCTATAATAATTTTATTAGACACATATCTATTGACATAGATTATTATCAGGGTTCAGATTTTATAGCATTTGCTACTTATTATAGGATAAAGATAAAGATAGCAGAGTAAGCTATTCATTTGTGTTATTAACAGGGACTCCAAATTAGAAATTTTATTTTACTATATTTTGCATATTGAAAGTATTTTAGATTTTTAGTGCTATTTTTGAAACTTTAGTGATATTTTTTTGCTAATATATATGATTTTATGCTTTATTTTGTATTTTTCATAAATCTCGTTGATATTGAATAAAAAATAGTATTCTTTTAGGTGAATCCAAAAATTCCCACATTTTTGTTTCATAATGACAATTGATAAATAATATGATATTTACTATTTTACATGTTATTAGAATCTATTTTTAAGTACCCTGGCGATATCCAATATATTTAAATATTTATGCCCTCTTATCTGTTTTATTTATTTTTATTTTATTATTGTTCTACAATATATTGTCGTCTATCATATGTATTTCATGCTTTCAGTGTCAGTTCTGCATATTTTTTGATTTCGTTTCATATTCGTTCATTACTCGATTGTGTATTATTTGTTTTTCTGTTTCGATACTTAACGTAAAATGCCGAAAGTTAAAACATCGAACTATTCGAGACTTAGATATTTTGTGTCTGAGTTTAGTGACAATGATGTTTTTACGATTGACGCAAGTATTCTATTTTGCAAATTGTGTGAATGTAAAGTTAATAGTGACAAAAAGTTTAACGTTACTCAATACTTAAAAATGTAGAAAAAGTTACGTACAAACAATTCCATCATTCAAAGTAAAATAGTTGAATATACAACCAAGACGTACTACATAAAAGTTTTTTGAAATTTTTAACAGAATATAGTAATTTTAGTTTTTTTTTATTAATATATTACTTCATAAAATAATATAATACATTTAATAAAATTTTGACTTACATTTTTTTTTTTTTTTTGCTATTTTTTTTTGTTTTTATGGCATATTTATAAAGCATATTTTAAGGTTTTTTTTGTCATATTATAGTGCATATTTTAGTATTTTTGGTGCTATTAAATTTGAACCGTGATTATTACCTTATTTATTATTTTATTTATTTATTTATTATTTATTATTTGACATATCTTCTTAAGATTTTATGACTTTGTAGAACCTACTTATTTTTGCTAATTATTTATGTAAATACTTCATAAGATTATTAATTATTTTAATTAGAAAAATCTTGGTATTTTATAAATAGTTTAAAATAAACCATTTTTTTAACACATAAGATAAAAATATTTTCTCTTCTGGAAAAAATAAATCGCTTCTTTTGAAACAATTTACACATATTTGTTCTATACTGCAAACTCTTATACTAAAATAAATACAATTATATGAAATTAATTAGCTCTGTAAATACATCCATTTGCATTTCCATTCAGATCAACCACACATAGTTTCAGGGAATAAATAACATCAAAATTGATTTTCATAAATAAATGTTTTTTTAATTTAATTTTTTTTTTTTTTGTATGGATGAGTAGTTACATACTCATTTAATTTAATCGTAAATAAAATATTATTTATTCTCGGTTAATAATATTTTTAGTTTTCTTGTTATTAAATAAAGGAATTTAATTTAGTAACAACCATTAATTTTGCTATACATGTAATTTTAATTAAAATAACGATAGATAAAGCTTGTCATAATGTAATTACTTTTATAAAAGTAAAAGTATATTTGTATAGCATATAAGTAAATTGGAGTTTAAAAAAATCTATTTCTTTCCAACTTCAAGATTGTCTGTTTGAGACTTGATGGATGAACCTCCAATGGAAACAGTCTTTTGGGCGATGGAATCAAAATTGGCTGAATTAAAAAGAGATGATGTATCAGTTGAGGCCGAACCGGCAGAAAAGGAGTTGAACGGAGTTGACGTAGAAGATCCGAAATATGACTTTTGACCAAACCCGTATGCACCGTTTGACAAATCAAAATCACTGCTCTTTTGGGCTTCATTTAAGCCGGTGAAACTTTGTTGAGCAATATTTGATTCAATGAGTAGCCCTGAATTGGAAGTTGAACTATAAGAGCTTATTGGGCTAGCAGTGGAGCTGAATAAACTTGATGGGGCAGATGTAGAACTGTAGACATTTGACGGGTCAGATGTGGTGCTTTGGAATACATTTCCGGAAACTGGTGCTACTCCTGACGAGAAAGTCCTATAACCAGATTGACCAATGAGTCCAGATTCGTATCCAGCTAAGGCGACCGGAGATTGTTGATAATAGTGAACAGTGGCAAAGCGTTGAACCGGAGCTTGGACTGGCACTGGAACCTTCACTTCATATGGAACATGAACTGGGTACGGTACCTTCTTTTCTATTGGGTATGGCACAGGTCTATCCACGTTTACCGGAACTTTAACTTCTACTGGAACTGGTACATTAACTGGAACTTCATATTTTACCGGATATGGAACTCTCTTTTCAACTGGGTATGGCACCAATTTTTCAACTGGGTACGGAACTCTTTTTTCGACTGGGTATGGCACTGGTTTATCGACCTGAACTGGATATGGTACGGGTTTTTCTACGGGATAAGGTCTGTCTACATTTACTCGTACTGGATATGGCACGGGTTTTTCGACTGCATACGGCACTGGTTTCTCAAATGGTACATGGACTGGGTAAGGCCTGTCAACTGGAACCTTAACTTCATATGGTACTGGTTTTTCGACTGGGTATGGTACTCTCTTTTCAATTTCCACTGGGTATGGCTGAGGAACATTGATCGGACGATCTACATTGACTTTGACGGCATATGGCACGTGTTTTTCTACCGTGACTGGGTACGGGTGTGGTACACGGACTAATACAGGGTATGGGATTCTCCTTTCAACTTGGACGTAGTATGGTACTGGGACTTCCCTGTTGATGGTGATTTCATGGTGAGGCGCTGGAACATTAGTGACTGGTAATTGGGCATATTCGGTATTGTAAGAGTCAGATTTTATGTAAGTAGCTCCTTGTGAAAATGCCGGAACATTAGAAGAAAATGATGCACCGTAAGATGTAGCAAAAGCTGGCGATCTATTCAAGAGAACAGGTTCTGGGGTTGACGAAACAACTGGTGAAGATCCGGATATGAAAGCAGATGCTGGAGTAGACGAATAGGTGAAACTTGAATCAGAGATAGCAGCACTTGGTAAATCGGCGCCAGATAAGATAGGTGCTGGGGTAGAGGATCCAATGAAAGCTGCTGGAGTAGAAGAAGCATATGATCCATCAAATAATGAAGTAGAGGTAGAAGAACCAATGATTGATTCTGGAGAAGATGTCAAGAAAGATCCGTCGAAAGATTTAGGTATAGCACCATTTGAGTAAGTATTTGATAAAAACGAATTTTCGAATGCGAACGGAGATGAACTTGAGCTATAAGAAACAGATTTTAATGGTGGTGCAGATGTTGAAAATGAGCTATCAAATATAAATGGAGTTGGGGTAGATGGACCAAAATACTTAGCACCAAATGAGTTTGAAGAAGGTGGCTCTGAGACAATATTCACATTTTCAGAGGCCGATGTAGCTTTATCGTTGTTAAGTGTCTTTGAGCAATCATGTGGTTTAAGATTTTTGAGATGTTTAACGTCAGCAAATGTATTTGATACAACTAGAAGAGCTAGTATCGTTGCTTGAATCTGAAAAAAAAAATATCTCATGAATATTTATTATGTATGTAATAATACAAACTATATTTAAGTATGCGAATTGGCATTTAAATACGAAGTATATTGACTTCACCAATTAAACACAGTTTATACATTTTATGGGCTTAATATAATACATATATTTTTATTAATTATATTTATTTTAAGATAATAAAAAAATGTATTAGCCAAAATATTTAAACAATGAAAAAATAATGTCTATTGTTGATGTAGGCAACAGATTTAAGAAAATTAAATTTTTAATATACACGTTGGCTATAATTTGTACGAGGAATTTTTAATATTATTTTTTATTGTATACTAATATATACCTATTAGATGTAAAAAATAAAAAATTCAGCTAATAACTTTAGTTGTGTAAAAGTATTTATTAAAATAATTTTATTTTTTATTTTAGCATTTGGGTTGGTTATAATTTTATAACTATTTTGGTAATTGTTTTTCCTTTATACTATTCGTATTTTTCAAATTTTTATGGAAACAAACAAGCAATCAAATGATTGAATCATTGAAAATAGAATTTTTTATTATTATATTATTATACTATTTATTTATATTATTTCTAAAAAATGGTAAAATTGTAAAATTAGAATTGTATTGTTGTAAAATAAAGTTGATATTTTATGTTAATAAATATTCAGTAGAATTTAATTATAAGATAATATCAATACATTTTAAGGGAAAAAGAAAATTAAATATATATTTTGACTTAGGTATATTAATTGATTGAATTAAATATTATTGAGACTTAAATTGTTTGCGTTATTTAGAATTGAATATGTATTTTTTGATGTTTTAGGGTAACACATTTAAACCATGATTTTTTTCATAATATTATTAATACTATGAGTATTTTTGGATATATTTATTCAATAGCCCTAGGAAAATTTACTATGTTAGTGTCGTATAATAATTTTTTTTGTATAAAATAATAAATAAACGTATGATAAGTTTATAAAATTTAATATTTATTTATGTACTTATTATTTTCATCATCTATAGTTAGTTTTTATAAGACAGGATATATCATATAAGTTGGAAATTTTGAAATATTATCTTAAAAAAGTATTACATTTTGAATAAAAATATAATTTATTGAATTATAATAACTTGTTAAATTGTATTATATTATAACTTATTTTGTTTTCTATGATATATTTCATAATTTCTAAGTTTTTTAATATATTATTATACGAAATGTGATAATTTGAACTAATTTAATAGTGTTTATAAAACAATTTAAAAGTCTCAAAATCAAAAAGTTAAAAATCATAAAGTTATAAAAATACAAATAACTAATGTCATACAAATTATTTTATAAGTTTAAAATAAACGTGAACTACTGAATGAAGACTAATAAATGTTTTATAAAAATCAGTTACTTTAACTTTAGAATTTAAATCAAGTCCAAATTAACTTTCATAATACATTCAACTGTCGTATAAAATAATTCACATAAAACTAAAATTAAATCTAATATAACAAATCAAGTAATTTATAAACATAGACTTTCTTCAATAAAATATGAATGTTTAAATAAATTATTAGTTTTAAACTTTTTATTATTATTATATATTGGTTTATTAAATGTGAATAAACAAAAAATAAATTTAATATTGTATTTTAATTAATTACCATTGAATGAATCATGTTTAATTATAATTGAATGTAGAACTTAATAAAATATGTAATGTGTTTCTTTGGAAAATATACATTAAATTCATAATTTTTCAAAATATTTACTTTAAAATAAAATGTTTAAAATATTTTTGTATTTCTTAAATAATTAATTTTAACCAAACACTTTTGTTGATGTAATTTAAATAAGTATAAGAGGAGTTTTAATTAAGTTTTCGTCATAAGCATAATATAATACAATGTTCATTCTTACCAAAACACTTGTAGCCATGTTTGCTTTTGCTGGTTGATTGTGTTCAGTCTTGTGGCCGACGACTGGATACATTTCTGATCGTCAGCCTTTAATATATATACTCGTGCATCTTCTTCAATTGTCCTCCATGCAATTGCTATCAGAAACCTGTATAACGAGAAAGGAGAATTTAATTTAATTTAATTTAACTCTTTTTATATATTTAATACGACAAGATGCTTTTTATATAACCATTTGTTTTCGTTCTAAATTTTTCAATACTTTATTAAGTTTTTTTTTTTTAAATTTATGTAAATCGTATTTCTTTAACTATTTGCGTATTTTCGGATATTTGGCATATAAACTGGTTGTTCGTATATAATCCACGGGGTTGCATAATAACATTATGGATTCTGAAATACTTCAGTCCTCGTTGACCTTCGAATACGATGATGTATCAAATTTCTCTTTCACCTCCATAATACGTGCATCTTCATATACATTTATTTGATGAAAATCAATCTGCATGTGCATTTACATTATAATATTTTGTATGAAATACGCAGCTAGTATGTGTGCTCTCATATAAAATGTAATTTATGTTTGAATGTTTCTCTGCTTTATTAATTTAAAAAAGCTTAGACTAAATTTTAGGATTATTAAATTCAATACGACTGACCAATAAATAAATAATACAAAAAAATAAAAAAGTATACAATAATATTTTTTATTACATCGAAAAACTGATGTTATTATTGTGAACAATACGATTTTATAAAAATCAAGTACTTATCGATATATTTTATACAGGATAGATAGAATCATATAAGTAAACTTTATAATAAAATTTTTCTCAACTAGACATTTGAAAAAACTAAATTGAATATTACGTGTTTAATTATCAATATGTATAAAAGCGTGTTACAACGATTTTCATTTATTTGTTATAAAATATAATTTCTAATACATTGTACAGTATTTTTTTAGTTTTCTTGATTATCAATACGTTATAACGGAAAGAAAAAAAAATAGGTATGCCTTTAGATATATATTTATAAATTATTTTAATTTCAGTGTAACCATTTTTAAAAATGTTGAAGTATTAAAACTGTATACACTTTGGGTTTAGAGCATAAGAGTTGTTGGTTTTAAGATATATTAAAACTGTAAATTGACAATATTCACATTATAATAATTATTACTTTTATAAAATATCAAACTATAATATTAATAACCCTTATTTTCTAATATCACTCTCAAAAAATTAAGCATCAGCACTTTTTTTATTTTTGAAATCATAATTTTTATATCTATCAAAAATTAAAAATGTTATATTCATGAATGTTTTGATTGAAGTCAGAAAAATAAATTTATATTATACTATATTATTCATAAGACTAGATAAATAATATTAAAAGAGAAATAATATACTTAACATTTAAGACCAATTGTTACATATTTTTTAAATTTTATAACTAACAGACTAAGAATAAAAATATAAAATAAAAATAAGTTTAATATTTTATATTTTATAAATCAGTATGTATATTATAGTAATAAAACATCAAAATATGCACTTCAAAATTCTCTAAACATGTTTTGTAAGAAAAAGATTTTTTTTTTTTTAAGACCTCTATTTTTATCCAATATTTTGTAATAGTATTCTGTTTTATAATTAAAAATTATTATGAGAATAATAATAAAATCTAAACAAGAATTCTGTAAAAATATTATTTTTATGCTATATTCATATTTTTACATACGATTTCAGCTAAATATTCTATACTTTTATGATTTAACATTTTGTAAAACTTTACAAAAACTTGCATTATAAAATTGTGTATAAATATATAATAGTAAAGTTATGTTTCAAAAATACTGTAAACTCTAAGGTTATTTTATAAATTTTATTAAAATCAAAATCCAAATTATTTAGTTTTATTCTTATTCTTTTACTATATAAAATATATTTAATAGACAATATTATTTTAATATGGTTTCTAAAATAATTTTTTTTTTTTTTTAAATTAATTAATTAAATGTAACAAATATATCAGGTATTTTTTAGTTTCGATATAAAGTAAAAATGCATGGGTTTTGGTCACGCATCTCGTCTTTTTAATTATATTCATATAATGAGATGAAAAATAAAATACAATATTTAAAGTTAATTTTTTAATACATTTTTAGCATATCGATGGTTTATTTATATAACTTTAAATCTAATTATAATAAAAAAGGTTTTTAAAATATGGAGGTAATTCACCAGATATTTACTAACATGTAAAATCTATTATATACATGTAGTTATAGTTAAAAATATTACGACTGTAATGTTTATCATATACACTTACTTTTGACACTTTGTTTGTACTTAATTTATATATTACATTTTTTGCATCATCTTATATTAGATTAAATGTAGATACATTACTTTACAAGTAATGCAATATTAAATTATCATTATTATTTATTTATAATGTATATTAATATGAAAATAATCGCCATGTTGGAATTATTTAAAAATTTACATAACTAATATATATATATATATATGTATGTATGTGTGTTATATAATGAATATTCATATAATTAATATATTTAATACACATGTATTATAACTATGTCTTATAAACATTTTTCCAATAACCCATGCCTCTATGAGTTTAAGTCAAATTCTTAGCCAAAATACTACTAAAATTTACGAAAAATTATAAATACAGTTTTTAGTTATAGTTAAACTGTTAGAAGTTACGATGACGATTATAACTTCTACCAAATATTTTCTACTGTACAGAGAATATCTACTATTATTATTTTTTTTTATCCATGGTACAGCTTCAATTACTATTAGCTTGTAACAAAAGATGATACAAAATGTTCTTCAATAAGTTTTACATATAAATTGGTTTTTTTCTTTTTTGTTACATGTAAATGTACAATAGCTACTTAAATTAGGTTATACATATAAATTTGTTTAAGAAATGTGATTACTTTGTTGGTGTTGTCATGGTTTGGGTTGAGGGCTTCGAAGATGTTGTCGGGAATTTCGAGTCTTTTTCTTGTACCTATATGGTTACTACATTACATAAGAATGTGCTTGGCAGTGAAAGGTTCTCCGCAGGTTTGGCACATTGTAGGTTCTTCTCTGCACATAAGATTTCCATGGGATATCTTTGAGTCACCAATACGAAGTCTGTTAATAACTATTTCATCTTTGTAATAAGATGTATGGAGTTTGGGCCAGTATACGGTAGTATATTTTATTTCTCTTAGTTTATTATTAGGTATACGCCGCCATTCAGATTCCCATAAATTGGTACAAAAGGTGCTGACATTTATATGAACGTCAATGAGTGAGGAGTATGTTCGTATTTCGGTTAGAGGGTTATTAACTGCTTCATGAGCTACTTTTTCAGCTTTTTCATTGACATCTATTCCACAATGGCCCGATATCCATATAAATTGTATATTTTTGTTGGCTTTTTCAATGTTGTTACTTATTTTAATTGTTAGGGTGCTTGAATGTAAGTTATGCTTCAGTTTGTTGAGAGCGGTGAGCGAATCTGTATAAATACTAATGGTCGAAACGGGCAGTTGAATGGCCAGGTGAATTCTCTCCAGAAGTGAAAAATATTCCGCTGTATAAATACTGTTATGGTTTGGTAGTTTGTACGATATGGATTAATTGCCGTTTATGATAGCGATCGCAACACCTGAGTTGGTTTTTGAGGCGTCTGTATAGATTTGTGGGTAAGATGGAGATGAGTCCATGATTTGATTGAATACATCTTTATATATAATATTAAATGTTTCTTTTTTACTATAATCTGCTAGCCTGGCATCCATAAGAAAAGATGGTACTCTCTAAGGGGACACCACACTGTATTCTCGTTTGATAATTGAATTTGGATCAATATTGATAAGCAAATTTTAATTAAACATCCTTAAACACAGTGGTTTTTTTTAAATTGGAATTGGAGCAAAATATATTTGCAAAACGATTTTGAATTATAAATGGCAATGATGAGTTTTATGAGGAGGAAAAGATGCGAGCAAAATAATTAAGAGCGAATTTGATTCTACGAATGAGAAGGGGAGATTTTCCAGAAATTGATAAAATGCTTGGAATGGAGCTACTTCGAAATGCGCCGGTTACAACTCTTAGCCCACTGTTATGAACTATATCAACTACTAATATTAAATGTATTATATATTCTAAATACTGTCTAAAAACTGCAAATTTATTATAAATCATTTCAATAAAAATTAAACAAACAGAAATATATTTTAGGGATATATTATAAAAAATATATTCGATTTATATTTTTAAAATGAAAATCTTTATTAAAATCATTACCGTAATGATAGTTAGAAACAGTCTCTATTTCCTTATGTTTTATAACTTAATATATATTTATATGTTTAGCAATAATTATGATTATTCATTTATGTTCTCGAAAAAACTTTTATTCAAAATTTAAATTTTAGATGAATAAAACCTTTATATATTAATAACATATAATAACACATTTTTCGTCTTTTATTCTTTTAGAATTTATACTAGAAATGTATGAATAATATAAGTCTTCTTAGGAATTGAATTTTTATTTTTTTTTGTAAAATATGTGTCTCTCATATGAAGTTAAACCTTCTGAAACATAATGACCATACGCTACTACACCATAGACTCTATGGTATAGAGTATATTACTGAAAAATTCAAACATTTTTATTAGTTGTCCTTACTACTAATCTTCCCATAATATAATATGATATTTAATATGTAATATTTAGAAAATTATATTATAGTGTTTAAAAGAGGTAATGAACTCACTTTTTTTTTTAAACTCAAAGTTCTAATGAAAAGTCAAATAGCTTTGAACATTTGTTTTAGGTAAATACAAGTATAACTAGTATATCTGACTCAATGAAAATAGGTTCATTTAAATATTTTGCTAAGGATATAATGTTGTCACATTCAATACACTCGTATGTTTTTTTACTGATATTAGTCTATAGACTATTATACATATTTTCAAATTCTTTCTTCTATTCAAAATAATTATTAGACAAGGTAAGATTTTTTTATATTTTTGAAATTTGTTTCTTTTATATAATTTTCATTTGC